CCCCCGCCCCCTGCATGTATTACTTTTATTCAAGGCCTGCAGCCAGTTTTGCGGCACTTCCTGGTCCCCCGTTTGCCCTTCTCCGCTACCTGCCATGGCCCCCCCATCCTCCCCCCCCCACTGAGCTGGGAAGAAATCGCCAGGGCTCTCCCTGGGCCCCCCCCCCGCCCCACTCCCTGGCAGCAGAGCCTCTGGTGGGGGACTGGGCAGGAGGCTGGGAAGGCGAGCGGCTCATGCCGCTCTGGTGGGGGGGGGTCCTTCTGCTGGGGGGGGCTTTCTGTGCACCGACAGACCCCGGCCTTTGGGTCTGGGTTCCAGTTGCAGTTTTATCTCTTTCCAAACAGCCGGGCTAGGAGTGGTTGTAGTTGCCTAGGGCTTGGTTTTTTTTGGTTGTTTTTTTATTTAAAAAAAAAGAAAAAGCTTTTCTTATTTTTAGATTCTCAATTTTAACAGACGAGAGGCCTGCTAATGTACTGTACGTGGCCTTTTTCCAGGGGAGGCCTCTGTGGCACAATGTGCCTGGATACACGTGGCCAACCCTTCCAATAAAGGCAACTTGGCGATACACTGCGCTGCGGCCTGCCTGCTCGGCTGCCTCCCCTTTGCTCCCCCATGACTCCTTCTGGGGCCGGAGGGAGAGACCTCTGGCCGCCTCGGCCTGCTTGGCGGCCTGGGCCTCGCTTGCCACAGATAGGTAGGAGCTCCTCCCGAGGGTCACTGGAAGCGGCTTCCAAAGACCAACGTTTTTCGGCCTCTTCCTCTCACAGTTCCTCCGATCTGCTTCCCCCCCACCTGTGCCCTGCAGAGATGCCCGAGATCCTGCCCCAGAGCCCATGTCCAACGTCACCGGCCAAGCCTCTCGCGTGGCTCCAGCTGATTTCCACAAGGTCCCTCTTAAGTTTGTCTTTGTGGGCTGAGGCCCAGTGGCCCACAAACGCAAAGGGGTGGGGGGAGTCTCTGTGGCACTCATGGACTTGCAAAAGGGGCTGTTTCTCCAGTTTGGGGACGGTCGGGGGCTGAGCCCTGTTATGCCCCCTCCCCCCTTTCACGATGCCCCCACGGGACGTCTTCCGTAGCCCTGCCCTTCACCTGCGACGTCCTCCCTGCTGGAGACACCGACCCGGAACTCTGGCTGGGCTTTTGAAGCCTGGAGCTGCCGCTCTGGACGCACAAATGCTCAGGTCTGTGTGCCAGCTGCGGAGGCTGTGCTTGTCCAGGCCAGAAGCTTGGGGTGCCCCTTGTGCCCTTGGCAACTTCACCCCCCCCCCCAGGATTAGCTTGTTACACCCCACCCCACTCCCCCGGATGGGATCAGCTCTTGGCAGCAGACTCTCCTGCTGGAGAAATACACGCTTGAGCCCTGCGCAGCCGAATGGCTCCGCTTTGGGCAGGAGAGCCCTCCCGTCACTCATCAGGGCTGCTTCCAGACACACAGCCTCTTCCCTGAGCCAGGAGGGGGTGGAGCCGGCAGGTTTGCGAGCCCAACCTGGAGGGAGGAGGCCTGGTGGATAGGGCTGGTCCTTGCTGCAGTGGGTGGGCCCAGCCCTGGGTGACCTTTCTCCTACATGCAGCCACCTGCGTCCCTCCCCTGCCCAGCCCACTGCCTGGCGGGGCAGCAAATAAAGGCCGCCTCTGCTGTGGTTGCACCCAGAGGGAGGTGCAGCTGGGGCTGGAGCAGAGAGCCAGGGCTGCCAATGCTGGTGAGGGCTCAGCGCAGCTCGGGCTGGCCGTTGGGGGCCTTGATGCCAGCCGCCCCGCGGGAAGAAAGGGGCCTGCTCGCCCCCTGTCAGGGCTGCCTGGGCAAGGCTCCTACTTGGGTGGGGAGGCCTCGCGTCCTGTCTCTCCACCTGGGCCGGTGGCAGCCACCCCATGGAGGCCTCCCCCCGCCGCCCGGCGGCGCCCTCAGTCTCCCCGCCGGTGGATTTCGTCCTGGGCGCCACGGCCTGCTGCCTGGCCTGCGTGTTCACCAACCCGCTGGAGGTGGTGAAGACCCGCCTGCAGCTGCAAGGGGAGCTCCGTCCCCAGGGCTCCTACCAGCGCCACTACCGAGGGGTGCTGCAGGCCGTGGCCGCCGTCAGCCAGGCCGATGGACTCCGGGGTCTGCAGAAGGGACTGGCGGCCGGGCTGTTGTACCAGGGGCTGATGAACAGCGTGCGATTTGGCTTCTACTCCCACACGGAAGATATCGGCCTGACCCAGCATCCGGGAGGGACCTTGGCAGCCGGAGCTGTGGCTGGGGCACTGGGGGCCTTTGTCGGGAGCCCGGCCTACTTGGTAAGCCTCTTGGGGGATGGGGGGCTCCTGGGCAGTTCCTTGGCTTGTTGGGCCATGGTTGTTCCCTCTTTGCAGGCCGGACGTGGAGGTAGGTGGGGCCGGGGTCTCCTGTGTGGTTCCCTTTGAGCAGGTGATGTGCCAGCCATGGCTGCACCAAGGAGGGACAGCAAGGGGGGAGGGGGCTTGGTCATCACAGAGATCATCTTCTTCAGCAGCACAGCCTGCTGCGGGCTCCGAGGGGCTGGTGAGACCTTGAGGTGGTTCCCTCTCCCCAGGGTGCCTCTGCGGGCACCAGGGTCTTCTCCTTTGCTGCCCGCAGAGGAAGGGGCACGGAGGCTGGCTAGGGTGGTGCATCCTTCAGCCTCTCGCCAGGAAGGCGCAGAGCCTTTGAAAAGCCCATCGCCTGGGCATTTGCAGCCCAAGAGAGCTGCCCAAGGAACTTTAGCCCCAAATGGCCCAGTGCAAGGTGGGCATGGCGGCGCCCTTCCCCTCCGCCCAGGCTCTGCTTTTGCTTGATCTAAGTGGGAGCTCCAGTTGCTCCCTGCAAGGGGGGGGCATTAATTAGGCAGCCCCTTTGGGAAGAGAGCCCAGAAGACGGTTTTCAGCTTGGTATCCCCGAGAGGGAAGTAAATGCGTTCCCCAACTGTCCCAGGCGGGGCAAGTCCAGGTTGAGGAGGGGAGAGGCCCCTGGGCCTCCGAAAAGACCGGGTGCAGGTCAGCGGGAGAGGGTTGGTTTTCCCTCAACACTCCCCCAACTCCCCCATCCCAACCTCAGCACTTTTGCTTTCCTCTCGGCAGGTCAAGACGCATCTGCAAGCACAGACGGCGGCTGCCGTAGCTGTGGGACACCAGCATAACCACAAGGTCCGAGGCGGTCTCGTCTCTCGCCACAGGCTTTGCTCAGGAGGGGTGTGGGGAGTGGGGGGAGAGGACGCCCCTTTCTTGGTCCAGGACTCTGCCCAGAGCTGTCTTGGCAGAAGCCTTGGGGCTTTGTAAGACCCCTCCTGGGGGGCGCTCCTGCCAGGGGTCACGCCTGAGCAGCCCATGGGAGGAGCCTCCCTCCCACTCAGCCTCTTCCCAGCGGGGCAAAGCCAAGGGAGGCCTTGCGAGAGCTGGCACTGCCAAGCCGGAGGGAGGGGGAGCCCGATTGGGCACCATTCAAACCACGGCAGCTGCATCGGCTTGCTTGGCCCAACCGGAGAGGGTTCCTTTTTGAAAAGTTCAGCACACCGGCTCCGGTGGCCTGGTGTGGCTAGCCGGCCGAATGGCCGGGCTGAAAAGCTCCCAGCCCACCCGTCCCTGGAGCTGGGCAGTGCCACAGCCGACCCTGGGATGGAAGCGTTTTCCTAGCTGCCGGAAAGGGCCCCAAACAGCCTATCCCATCCTTGACATGCCTTAGAGCAGGGGTCCCCAATCCCTAGCCTGTGGACCAGTACCGGGCCGCGGCACGCCAGCAACCGGGCCGCACAAACAAGCGAAGCCCCATCTGTGGGATGCAGGCAGCATACAAAACCACACACCCTCCGGTCCGTGGAAAAACCTCTCTCCACGGAACCGGTCCCCGTTGCCCAAAAGGCTGGGGGGCTCTGCCTTAGAGCAGCCCCTCCTCCCTCCCAGCTGAGCATCCTAGGCAATTTTGTCTGTTAAGGATGGACTTTCCCCAGTGGGGAATCTTTCCCTAGCCAGGTCCTTCACGTGGCCCATGCTGAACGGGCAGAGAACAGCGTGATTCCATTTTTTTTTTTAGTCCTTTCTAGAATCAGGCTTGGCCCTGCGGTCGAGGGGAGGTTCCTGCAAAAGGCTCCTCCCTTTTTCAGCCCCCTCCCTGGCCTGGCCCAAGGAAGGGGCGCCAGGCTCTGCTTCTCGTCTTCTCCTACCGCTTTGCAGAGCATCTCCGGGGCCTTTGAGGCCATCTATAGGCGGCAGGGGCTGCTGGGTCTGTGGCGCGGCGTGAGCGGAGCAGTGCCTCGTGTCATGGTGGGCTCCTCTGTGCAGCTGGCCACCTTTGCCTCTGCCAGGGAGTGGGTGGCAAGGCAGCAGGTGAGTAGGCTCTGTGTGTGTGTGTGTGTCCTGAAGGGGGTGGGCCTTTGCCCAGCATCCAGCTCGCCGGGAGGGGTCTCCCCTTTGGCCTTTCCCAGCCACCCTGCTTCCCCACGCATCCGTGGCGGCCTGCAGACACTGGACCTGCCCTTGTCAAGACGGTTTCTCTGGCTTTTCGTTTCCCAGTGGTTCAAGGAAGGCAGCTGGATGGTGGCTCTCGCTGGGGGCATGATCAGCAGCGTGGCCGTGACTGTAGCCATGACTCCCTTCGATGTGGTGAGCACACGACTCTACAACCAGCCGGTGGATGAAACTGGCACGGTGAGGCTCTCGCGGTGCCCCCTTCATGCAAAATGCCCTCGCCCAGGTTTTGGGATGAAGGAGTGGGGGGGGGAACGTTGCCCCATCAACTGGTCCTGTCCTCTTCCCCCTGCAGGGCAAGAACTACCGCGGCTTCTTCGACTGCGTCGTGCGGGTCTCGGAGAAGGAAGGCATCCTGGCCCTGTACAAGGGCTTCGGCCCCGCTTACCTCCGCCTGGGGCCACACACCGTCCTCAGCCTTCTCTTCTGGGATGAGCTGAGGAGGGTCCCCTACTGGCAGCAGGCCACCTGAAGACCCCCAGACTGCTCAGGACCCTCCAGCCCCAGAGAGCAGGACTGCGGAGAGCAAACAGCTCTTTTCCCAACTGGAGTGTCGTCTGCGGATGTGCCCAGATACGGAGCGATGATGAGGGCTGGAAAATCAAGGACTCCACAGAGCAACTTTCAAGCAAAAGTCGCAGCTTCAACCACCACCCTTTTTGGAGGGGGAGGGGGGTTGGTCCCAAATTCACCATCTGAGAAACGACTGATTTTCGCTCCTGCTCCGGGGAGCCCTCCCCCCCCCACACTCCATTTTGACTCACACTCCAGGGCCAGAGTCGGAAAGGCAGGTGCCAAAAGGGAGGGATGGCGAGCGCCTCTCCCTCTCCAAGCGTCCGCAGCGGCTTCACTCGGGCAGATTTTTCCCCACAGAAGCGGAAGAGCAGGTAAAGCAGGAAAGATGGAGGAAGAAGAGAGAGAGAGAGAGAGAGAGAGAGGCAGGATGCTGAGAGATGAGAAAAAAAGCCCGGGCAGAGGGGCCCTTCCTGCTTTGGAAACACTTTCCACTCTCCTTCACTGGGGTGGCAGGGGTCCCTCCTAGGCTAGAGGCAGACCCAGACCTTGGGAGCGACCCCGTTGCCACTTCTGACCTTGGGGAGCCATCAGAAAGGACCAGGGGGGCGCACAGGAGGGACAGGTTGCAACCATCGCTGGCGTTGGGTAGAGTCCAGGGGCCAGTCCCAGCAAAGCTGTCTCCAGCAGGGAGAGGGAGGACACTGTGGGCAAGGGGTGGCCGCCGTAGACAGTCCCTGCCAGCGAAGCAAAAGGCTGGCAGCCTTCTCCCCCAGAGTTTATGGGTCGCTCCTTGGAAGCATCTTTGCCTCCTCGTTGCTCGGGCAAAGTTGAGTTGGCAAAGTTAGCCAGGTTTGGGTTTAAGCCACCGGGAGACAGCGGAGGTGCCGGGTCCAAGGGCCCAAGTTCAGCGATGGAAGGAAGGTGTGGCTGAGATTTATTGCTGCCCTGAACCGGACGGCCCTGGACCTCCTCTGACCCATCGCCGCCTCCCCTGGCCTGGCGCTGCAGCAGGACTGGGGCAGAAAACCGCCTCTCCCGTTTCCGTTGTAAAAAATAAAGGCTCCATTTCCACAAACGAGAGAGCAGCCCCTGTGTGGGATGTGCACGGCCAGCCGCCGGGGGTCCTCGCTCAGACTCCAGAAGGGGGTCAGCACAAGCGGCGGGGGGGACGGGTGGGAGGGTGGCGGATGCGTTCAGCACACGCTCAGAGGCAACGGACGAGCTTCCTGCTTTGTGTGCCCATCGCTGGGCCAGTCGCTCAGCGGAACGGAGTCGGCCTTTGTTCGGGGCTGATCCTGGCCGGAGGGACGGCTCCCCTGGCTGAGGGGGTGGGGGGCTCTGATGCCAGCAGGGAGGCTCAGCCCCACGTGTCTCCCCCAGGCAGGAGGGATTGGCCAGGCCCAAGGCCAGCGGCAGGGGGCTGTCCGGTCCTCCAGGTGAGGAGGGAGGCTGAATCCAATAGTGCTTCCCATCCAAGGCAGCCCTTAAGGGGCGTTTCACGAATACTGGGACAGAAGGCAGCTGTGGACCTTGGGACCCAGGATGCAATTGTCTCAGCCTTTAGCACTTTGTGGTCTTCAGAGCACTGGGGACACACACACACACACACACATACATGCACGTCTTTGATTGCCTGCTTCGTGCGTCTGATTCAGTGACTCCTCTGCCCTAAACAGCTGCAAAAAGGGGTCTGTTCTTTTGGCCCCCACATCTTGCCCTCTGGAGCCACCCCCACCCTGCCTGGTTCCCCTCATGCCTCAGGTGGGAAGAATTTTGAGTCAACCTCCCGAGGCCTGCGGTTCCATCATCCCCAGCCTGCAAGAGCAGAGCCTTGGACGGGCGCTGAGTGAGCAGAGGTGTCTTCCCAGGCGGCGGAGGTGCCCTTCCACGTCCTGCTGCTGGGAGGGCCTCCCTCCTTTCCCAAGGAAGAAAAGGCTGAGCCAGCCTGCCCATTGCCTCCCCCCCCACACACACACTCCCCGTTTTATTTGCTCACTCTGGGCTCAAGGTCCTTCCTGTGCCGTCCCTCGGAGGCCATTGAGAGGAGCCTGGGTGCAGCGCGGGCCACAATGCTCTCCTGGCTGTCAAGCTTCCTCCCGCTGGCCTGGACCTCCAGCCTTGTGGACTCCCTCCTGCAGGGTTAGCTTCCTCACTCCCCCCCCTCCAGTCCTCCCCTCCCTCTCCCCACGGTCCCTCCCTCCCTCCCTCCTGGCTGACCTTTGCTTCCCTGCAGGGCTGGTGGGGGCCTGTGCCGTCTGCATCCTGGGCAGCTTGATGAGGATTTACCTCTACATCCAGTGCCTGAAGTGAGTGCCTGCTGGGAGGGCCCCAGGCTGGGGAAAGGAGGGGGGCTCTAGGGCCCCAAGGCCACATTCTGCAACTCGATTCAGCCCTCCGTCACCCTGGGCACCTCCCACGGTTAATGGCTGACCCTTTGCCTGAGCCCTAGAGGCTGTGCAGGGATGGGGCACTGGTCCGGCTGCCCCATCTGGCTTTTCCCCTTCGTCCTCTCAGTGACCCCGACAGGCAGAAGGAGAAGGAGACTCTCCGGCAGCAGCGGCCCTTCCTGGACCGGCTCCATCTCGTGGTGCTGACGGCCATCTTCACCATGGTGGGGCACCGGGTGGCCGCCCTGATCGTCCTGGAGTTCTCCCTCCGGGCGGTGTCCACCATCCTCTCCCTCAACAAGGTGGCCCGTCTCCTTCCTGCTTCTGCATCGGGGCCGGGAGTGGGTGGGAGTGGGCAGAACCCAGGGCAGGTCAAAGTGGGGGGCAAAGGCGGCTGGAGAAAAAGTGCCAATGCCAGCTTCAGGACCACATGATTGGCACCGAATTCCTGCTCAGGAGAGTAACGCCTCTACTCCGCCCCCTTGTTTCTACCAGGAGGCGGCCGATGGCTCCCTTGCTTTCTGTCCCCCCACCCACCATTGGAATGGGGGGGCGGGACAACCTGAGGCTTCACCAGCCACACTCCCCATAGTGCCCTTGTGTCTCTCCCCATTGGGTGGGCACAAAGTCCTGCGCTGTGCACGCTCCAGAAGCCCTTGCTGGTGCCGCCTCGGAGGGAGGGGTGCCAGCTGTGCCCTGGCCTCTGCTTTACGAGCAGCTTCTGCGGATAATGGCGGGTGGATTCAGGGGCGCAGGTGGCGCTGGTGAAGGGGGTGTCGCTGGACAAGTGCCAGTTTCATCAGGGCCTCAACACTGGCACAGCGTGGTTTCCAGGGGTCTTTTTATTGTGTGTGCTGCCCAGAGCTCTTTTGGGCAGGCGGGTGGCTAACTGGGCTTCCGTGTACCAAGGAGGCTTGTGCCCGCTTCTTGCTCTCCAGGGGGCCCTCAGCAGCCAGCTCTACCTGCTCTGCCAATACTCGTTGGGCTGCGGCGTCTCCTGCAGCCTGGGCTACCTGCAGGAGGGAGCGCCTCATCGCACCTGGAACCTCCTCCTGGCCGTGGGGCTGGCCCTGCTCCTGACCCACTACGTCTGGCGCCTGGCCTGGCACGTCTCCACCATGTACGAGCTGCACTGCAAGGAGCGCTACTGCGGAGGCTGCCTCTTCCTCCTCACCACGTGGCACGGGATCCCCCGGATGCTCTGCAACGCCCTCCGGGTGACCTTTGGGGTGGCCGACTTGGCAGCCGTGGCTCTGATCAACCGGGATTTCCTCTCGACCTCGGAGGCGATCCGCTTCTGGACGCCGCTGACCATCTGCTACACACTTCTGGTCATCTACATGCAGGGTGAGTGAGTTTCCGGTTTGGTGAACGCCGACTCTGGTCCCACAGAAAGCAGGCCTGCCTGCAGATCCTGCCCCTCCCTGGGGCATTGGGGGGGATCCTTTCTGAGCAGGGGCCAATCTCCCCCCCCCCCCGTGGAAGGCAGGGCCCAGCTCCTCCCGCTGACCCACTTCCTTCCGCCTGGTTGACCGACAGAGGAGCAGCATCAGAATCCCACCCAGTCGATGGCTTTCCAGACCGTCTTTGTCAGGATGGGAGGCCTCCTGGTCCTGCTGATGACGGTGGGCCAGTGGAGGGACATCGTGAACATCCTCATCTCACTGGCAGGGGAGATCTGGTGCCTGACCCGGACCGGATCCATGCTGGAGGTGTGCAGGGAGCAGGTGAGGAGAAGGAGGAGGAGGAGGAGACCGGAGTGTGGACAGAAGCAGCCCAACCTCTCAGCTGCATCTCTGCTGGCATCTGGGAAGTTCCCTTTCAATGGGGTTCAAGGTGTGAGCAGGCCATCGCTGTGGGGTCCTCATGAGCTCAGCAAGAGTGGGGGTTGCCCTCCCCTCCCCTTCCAGCCCAAAGTCTGGAGGTTCTGACTGACATAGGCAAGAGGCCTCCTGTGTCCAGGCGCTGTCGGAGGGAAGCCATCCCTTCCGTATACTTTGCATTGCTTTCCATTTCAGGATGAGCATCCCTCTCTCGCGGCATCTGCGTCCGGTCTACCTCACGGTCAGCGCCGAGAGCCCTCAAGATCTCTGGCGGCAGCAGCAGCAGCAACAGAGGCCACGTCCTGAAAAAAAGAGAAGCCCCACGAGAAGGGCCCGGCCTAGAGACTGTAGGCCAGACAGGCCACAAGCCCAGCTCCATCTGGGCTGTCCAGCTTTGGGGCCAAAGGGTTGGTGGGTTCCCTCTCGGTGCTGTGGCCCCCTCTCGCCCCCTTCAGCAATTCCCTCTCTGGCCTGCCTTCCTGGGACGGCAGAGAGGCCGAAGCGGGCTGGGCTAGGTTGCGAGGGGCTTTGGCTGGTGGGGGGCAAGGGGAGTCCATTCGGGCCAAGGGGTGGCACCGGAGACCTGTTGCCATTGCCCTGTGGGAGGAAAGAAGGAATCGCTCCCGTTCTGGGTGCCAGAGTTCCCGGCTAAAGGGAGCTGAGCCTGGGCTGACCCAGGAGAGTCTGTGGGTCAGATGGGCCCCCTGCTCCCCCGTGTGGAAGGCTGCCACCTACTTTGTGCATCGTGGGCTTGATTCCAGCACCGTATCCCCCCACCCTCCACCCACAGGAACTCGCAGGTGGGCCTTCATCCCCGGCTCCCGAGCTCGCCCGTTTCGCGCTCTCTGTCCTCCCGGCTAAGGCTTTAAGGTTTTCCCCAGTGGGGGAAAGAGATAAAGGCGGTTTTATTTTAGACAGCAGTCATCAAGGCTTTGCTAAAACTGAAATGCGAAGGGCCGGTTAATTTTCTCTGGTCTAGTTAGAAAGGAAAAGAACCTCTGCCTTTTAGCGGCCTTGTGTTCCAGGAGGATGCAGCGGCGGTTGATCCTGCAAATGCAGAAAGTAAAATAAAAAGGACGGCGACAGAAATCGGATTTTGTTTGGTTTTCTTCTCGGGTTGGTTTCCACGCCAATTTCCGCTCTCCCGTTGCAACCGGCCCTCTTCAGGCACAGTGAGTTTTGCAGGATCTCTTTGGAGGGATCCTTCTTTGGAAGGGAGCCTTACGGAGTGTCCCCCATGGGTGGGCCTGGGATCTAGAATGGCTTTTCCCCACATGCGCCCCCCTCAATGGGAAGACGGCCTGCAGCTCTTTCCTCCACCAGCTCACAGTGGGTTTTGGGGGAGGTGGGGGCTATCCTATGCCAGGGGTAGGCCACCTTGGCTATTTTATGACTGATGGACTTCAACTCCCAGAATTCCTGAGCCAGCATGGCTCAGCTTGGAAACCTCTCCCTTTCCCCTCAGCGTGGCTGGCTCAGGAATTCTGGGAGTTGAAGTCCACGAGTCATAAAAGAGCCCAGGTTGCCTATCTCTGGCCTAGGCCCAGGCCGCTTTATGACTCGTGGACTTCAACTCCCAGAATTCCTGAGCCAGCATGACTCAGCTTGGAAACCTCTCCCTTTCCCCTCAGCGTGGCTGGCTCAGGAATTCTGGGAGTTGAAGTCCACCAGTCATGAAGGGGGCCATAGTTCCCCCATGCTGGCTCAGGAATTCTGGGAGTTGAACTCCACAAGTCATAAAAGAGCCAAGATTGCCTACCTCTGGCCTAGGCCTAGGCCGCTTTATGACTCGTGGACTTCAGCTCCCAGAATTCCTGAGCCAGCATGACTCAGCTTGGAAACCTCTCCCTTTCCCCTCAGTGTGGCTGGCTCAGGAATTCTGGGAGTTGAAGTCCACGAGTCATAAAAGGGCCAAGTTTGAAGACCCCTGTCTTAAATCTAACAAAGAAAATGGAGGCTGGCTGAGGAATTCTGGGAGTTGAAGTCCACGAGTCATAAAAGGGCCAAGGTTGCCTACCCCTGGCCTAGGCCTTGTAAGGCGTTTGCTATTCCACCTTTTCCTGCGCTCCAAGCCTTTGTGGTGCTTTTCCTGGGTGGGTGGCTGGCACTGGGCTTAAGCCCTTTCTCCCCCCCCCTCCACCCACTCAACGGGTCCTCACCAAGGTGATGGGCGCACAGTTGTACTGCCACGTGAAGCTCTTCCTGGGTGCCAGGCTCAGAAAGGTGCATGTATTTCTTCCATGCTCCATCCATCTGTCCAATAAACAGGCTTACTGTACCTAAGAGCCCCCCCCCAGTGAACTGCAAGGCCCACCACATTCCCCCCCCAGTCCCTTTTCCTTCCACTCCAGGCCTCTGTATGGCTTCTCCACCAGCTCTGAATGCAGCATCGGAACATCTTTCCCTGCGAAGCGAATTAATGAAATCCTGCAGAGTCTGGAAGGCTTTTCCCACACTGGAGCCCACGGGAGGGACAAGGGGGGGGGAATGCCTTGATGCCTTTGGGGGCTCCTTTGGCAACGAAAGTTCTGGATTGATGGCTTTCCGGAACAGAAATCCTAGCCTGACTGTGCTTTCTCTTGCTTGGTGATTTTTTTTTAATCTGGACGGGCTCTTTCCGTCCGCCCTGCAGATTGGTGGCTTCTGCCTGGGTCTGTTTCCCCCCAGAAGAACAGAGTCGGATGGGACCCTTGAAGGTCTTCTAGTCTAACCCCCCCCCCTCAGGCAGGAAATCAGGAAGGCCTGGCTTTCCCAGGGCTTTGTGGGAACTCTCTCGCGGGCAAGTTTGCTTGCCTTCTGCTGCTCTGGCTCTAGAAAGGTCAGTTTGCGCGTGGGGAGCAGCTCCAGCTGCTTCCATTGTTCCCTAGAGGAGGGGTCCCCAACCCCCGGTTCGTGGACCGGTACCAGGCCTCACAAACAAGCAAAACCCCATCTGTGGGATGCAGGCAGCACACAAAACCACACACTCTCCGGTCCGTGGAAAAACCTAGCCGGCTTCCGGCCCTGGGTGCTGTTGCTCCCCCCAAACGGCTTCACTGTTTGGGTGGCTGCCTTTCAGCCCTCCACCCCTGCAGTGTTTGCTCCTAGCGCCGAATAACGCGCGAGCCTCAAAGGGACACAGGGCGCCCACCGTCACTGCTTTCCAGAAACCCCCCACCCCCCCCAGTGCCAAAGGCTGTCCCCATCAAAGGCGGGATTGGGTGGGTGGGGGGCAGGTGTGGCCCCCCAAGATTGCTGATAGATGAAGGGGCTGGTTTCCTTTCACGGGTAACCTCTGACCCCAGAGGTGTGACCGACTGTCTCGCGAGCCCATCCCTACCTGCGGAAGGACATGCATCTCCCTCTCCCTGCTGGTGCGTCCAGCAGGTGGCAGTCTTGGGTCACTTTTGGTGGCGTTTGCCAGTCTGCAGAGTCAGACCTCACCTGCAGGGGGCTAGGGAGGGAATTGGGTGGGGGGAGGCTGGGAAAGCTGCCTGCCTTTGGTGGCTGAAAAAAGCCAACAGGAGCTGGCTGGGCTGATGTCACGCTGAGCCTCGGCTGCAGCTAGGAAGGCTGAACTGCAGGGTCCTCCTCTTCCTGCTTCCAGAGCAGCCCTGGGGGAGTCCTCAGGCACTGTCCTGACACACACACACACAGGGGCAAATCTCTGCCCGGCCCCTCCTCCTCTTGAGATGTGCTCTGGAAGGCTTTGCTTGATGCTCACTTCCACCACCGTTCAGCCTTGTCAGTGCAAAAGAGAACCTGCACTGAGGTGCCCACTTCAATTGGGGTGTCCCTGGCCAGCAGACGGGGCCGGACAACCAGAGGATGGGCGAGGATCAGGCCCACACACTCTCGCCCAGGACAGCGATGCCCTGCATCCTCTGGGCACAACGGGGGTCCAGCTGGCAGAAGCGGTGGGACAAGAGTGACTCTTGGGGGCCTTGGCTCACGTGACCGAAAGGCTCCCCTTGGGAGAGAGGTAAGCGGCTGGGAGGGGCGGCAGCCGACCCCCATCCCCAAGCTCCTTTCCAAGGGGTCAGCCTCACGAGATGGGCCAGACTAAGTCCCCAGGGACTTTTGGCTGTCAGAATAACTTGCAGGTCTCCCTCCCTCCATGTTCTTGTGAACTAGGAACTAGGAAGGCTGAGTTGTTTGCCCCAGTTAGCTCCAGTTAGGTCCTTGGCAGGTTCAAGTTCCCCTTTACATTTTTCTGACTGGGGCCTTTGGGGTGGGGAGGGGGGCTCCTCAGATTGAATGGCCAGCTGGAAGCTTTATTGAGGCCTGGGAGGGGGTTCATTGTCACCACCATGCCGGGTTTTAGAATGCCAGCTTCCACACGACCGACTGGAACGGTACCAATCTCGCCAATTTTGTAGACACCCTGAAGTGGCAGGCGTTAGAGGTTTGTCAGCTGGACGAGCTGGTGGCAAGATAGAGTCCACTAGCACCGCCATCTTCATGAGTCACCTTCCACCCTTTGAACCAGGGCATATTAGAGCTAGGTTCCGACATGTTATCTCCATTCCAGCCTGAAATTGGCCCAGAGGTCACCGTATCTGGATTGTAGCCGATTTTCTTTATGTACGTGCTGACTTCTTTGACAATTTCCTCATATCTCTTCTGGCTGTAAGGCGGCTCAGTGGAATTCATCTTGTTGACCGCAACAACGAGCTGTTTTACGTCCAGAGTATAGGCCAGAAGGGCATGCTCACAAGTTTGTCCATTCTTGGAAATACCTGCTTCAAATTCACCAACACCAGCCACAACAATTAAGACAACACAGTCAGCCTGAGATAATAATAATAATAATAAAGTTGGAAGGGACCTTGGAGGTCATCTAGTCCAGCCCCCTGCTCAGGCAGGAAACCCTATACCATTTCAGACAAATGGCTGTCCAGTCTCTTCTTAAAAACTTCCAGTGTTGGAGCATTCACCGCTTCTGGAGGCAGGTTGTTCCACTGGTTAATTGTTCTAGCTGTCAGGAAGTTTCTCCTTAGTTCTAGGTTGCTTCTCTCCTTGGTTAGTTTCCACCCATTGCTTCTTGTCCGGCCTTCAGGTTTCTTTGGAGAATAGCTTGACTCCCTCTTCTTTGGGACAGCCCCTGAGATACTGGAAGACTGCTATCGTGTCCCCCCCTCATCCTTCTCTTCGTTAAACTAGACAGACCAAATTCCAGCAACCGTTCCTTATATGTTTTGGCCTCCAGTCCCCTGATCATCTTTGTTGTTCTTCTCTTTCTAGAGCAGTGGCGGCGAACCTGTGGCACGGGTGCCAGAGGCGGCACTCAGAGCCCTCTCTGTGGGCACGCACGCCGTCGCCCCAGTCTTCAGCCTTCAGCTGGGTTTTATAAAACCTTTTTGTTTTAGGCCTCTGCCGCCGTGTACAAAAAAAAAGGTTCAATCAGTCAATTTCAACTTCTAGCGGAAAAAAAAGATCTTGCAAAGTTGGAATTGATTGATTGAACTTAGTCCCACCCAGTCTGCTGTTACCACCGCAGCCATGCACACCCAATGGGCCACACCCACCCAATGGGCCACACCCACCCGGCACCCGATGATGCATAAGTGGGTTTTGGGTTGCAGTTTGGGCACTCGGTCTCTAAAAGGTTCGCCATCACTGCTCTAGAGTCTCAACATCTTTTTTACATTGTGGTGACCAAAACTGCATGCAGTATTCCAAGTGTGGCCTTACCAAGGCCTTGTAAAAATCATGTTTTTGATGAAATCTCTGTGTCCAGGAGCATCAGCGATAGTGACATTTCCAGAGTGAAATGTCAAGGGCGATGATGCCCCGTTCACGTTCTGCCTTCGTGCACACTTGAAGGAGCCTCTTCACCCATCTCAGCAGCTTCCTTCTCAAACGCCTCCATGCCCCCCTTGTCCATCCCACCCCATTGGTCAATCAGATGACCAGTGGTGGTGGTGGTGGACTTGCCAGAATCGACATGTCCGATGACGACAACGACGTTGACGCGGGTCTTTCCCTTTCCCACGTTGGGTGGTTAGCTAAGGCTTTCCTATCAGCTCCAACCCGTAGCGCAAAAGAGACCCGGGTTGCAAGCCAAGGGAAGACACTCTGCCAGTCTCTCAAAGGAGGAGGGGGGGGGAGAAGGATGCCAGAGGTCTCCCCCCAAGGTGGGGAACGGGGGGGTGCGGTCCCCTGCTAAGCCAGGCAGCCCCAGCCAACAGCTCTCCTTCCTGGCTCAGTCAGAGAAGCCTCTCTAGAGGTCCAGGATGATGGGACTTGTTGCCTCCCGCCCTAGATGGGCGGATGCCGGGTCCAGACTCAGCTGTTTGGGGGGGGGGGAAATTCTGCTTGGGAACACAGAGTGCCCAGAGGGGGGCCGCGAGAGCCCGGGACCCCAGCAAGGGGAAGGGAGGGAAAGAGGGAGGGGAGGGAAAGAGGGAAGGAAAGAGGGAGGGCGGAGCGCGGGAGGGCCGGGCAGGTACGAGAAAGCTCCGCTTCTCGCAGACGCCCCTCGCCTTTTACGGCCACAACGGCGGCGGCGGGGCGGGGCGCGCCTGCTCGACCCCCGGCAGGCAGGCAGGCAGGCAGGCAGGCGAAGGTGTGTGGAGCGAGCGACGGCCGGAGGGAGAAGCAGCCGCCCGCCGTCGCTGCCGCTTCCAGGTGAGGTCGAGGGCGGTGGTCAGGGTCGCCCGGGGTCCCCTCTCTCTTTGCCCCGTCCCGGGACGAGATGCTCCGGGCAGCCCTTGCAGGGGAAGCCGCCCCACGCCCCCCTTTTCCCCGCTTGGAAGAAGGGCGGAGGGCGCTCCTGCTTGCAAGGAGAGCCCGCGGTCCGGCAGAGTCCCCGCCTGGGCTGCGCGCCCCCTTCCCTTCCCCGAAAATCCCCCGGGAGCCGAGCGGGGGGCGTCCCGTTGGCCTCCCGGGGAACGGCCGGTCAGGAAAGGAAGGAAGGAAGGGAGGGAGGAAACGGCCGGGAGCGGCCGAGGCGCGGTGCCCCTTGTTCCTGCCTGCATGGGGCGCTTGGGGAGGCTTTGGGGGAGAGGGGCTGGGGCCGGGTCGGAGGGAGGGGGGAGCTGGGCGCTTGTTCTCCACGAGGAGGGGGGTCTCCCTGCCCTTTTGAGCCTCTCCTCTCGGAGGAGACGAGCCCCCTCCCCAAAGCTCAGAAGTAAAGGGGGGGGGAGTCAGCAAAGGCTATGGGGACTTTTTTTTTGTGCAACATTTATGTGTCCCTTGACACCCCCCCCCCAGGCCTTTTGTGGCTTTCTCTGCTGGGATGGAGGGAGGTGGGGGGCGGGCTTGGAGGGAGAAGCCCCCTTTGAGGTTTTGCCTCTAGCCTGCCACGGTTCCCCCTTTCTCTCAGGTGGGGATGCTCTCGCGCAAGGCGGAGAAGCGCATGGTCTCCTCCATCTTCATCATCCTTGCGCCACCCCGGAGGGGCTGCGGGGGTCCTGCGAAGGCCCCGCCGTTCCTTCCCACGGAGAAGCTGGTCCCTCGGAAAGAGGGGAGGGGGGCCAGCAGCACGCCGGGTGCAGGTGAGGCCCCTGACGTCCTTGGGCCCCCGGTCCAGAGCTGGAGCAGAAGTGGGGAACCTTCAGCCGTGGGGCTTCTCTGGCTGGGAGGCCCTGGATGGACACCCCCCCCCCCAGGGTCTGGCTGAAGAATAAGCTCCTTCCCTCCTGCAGTTTCCTCTGCCCGGCTGGCGCCGCCTCTTGACCCTCCTCAATCTGTGGAAGCCGTCCTGAGGTCTCTGCAGCCCTCCGCTGCCCTCCCGGTGGAGACCCTGGGCCTGGGTCTGCAGAAGGGAGCTGCCGCCTTGCCCTCCCCCCTGCAGGTAATTATCCTTTTTCCACAGGAGAGGGTCAATCTTCAGCTTTTCCTTATGGAAGAGCAAGGGCAGCTGGGTGGGGAGCAGAATTAAAACACAGGCTCCACGGTAGCCCGTAAACTTTTTAATATCAAGTAATGGCCGCCTGGCAATAGCCTGGATCCTTCACCTGGAACCTTCCCTTTAATCACGCCATCCAGAGACACTTTGCCTGGTTTTTTTAAAAATGAAAGAGAGAGAAGAACTGGCCTGGAGGCAATTTAGAGAGGCTCCAGGCCGCATTTCAACACACACACACACACACACACACACACACACACACACACACACGTTGCAGCTTCAAAAAAAAAAAACCCCAAGAAAGACTTCCCAGTATTGAAGGAGAAGGAATCTTTAATTAAAGGGTCCCCCACCCTGGACCCACAATTGCTAAATTGCTACAGGAACCTCCTTTGGCAGACTACAAAACCCACTTGGCTTTCCAAAGGGCTTAACTCGGCCTGTTCTTTTCTCTTTTTTTCCAGACTTCTGGAGTGGAAGAGCCTCGGCCGGCCTCTCCTCTCGACTGGACAGATGGACAGGCACAGGAAGAGGCTGCAGCGCCAGGTGAGGAACTGCCCCCTGTCCCCACCGAGGGGTCGTCGGCTCGCTCGGTGTCTTAAGGAGGCGACTTGACCCCCGGCTGACTGGGCGATCCACCCTCTCTCGGTCCGCTTCATTCCTTTCCCAGATATTTGCGCTTTCTGCCATAAGGGCATCTCGCCCGATGCTCTTGCTCTTGAGGCCATGAGGAAGCAGTACCATGTCAAATGCTTCACCTGCCGGATTTGTCACAGCAGCCTTGCGGGGCAGAGCTACTACCAGAAAGAGGGCCGGCCCTTGTGCACGGCCTGCTATCAGGTAAGGCCTAGGGTGCCAGGGGTAGGCCACCTTGGCTCTTTTATGACTCGTGGACTTCAACTCCCAGAATTCCTGAGCCAGCCATGCTGAGGGGAAAGGGAGAGGTTTCCAAGCTGAGCCAGGAATTCTGGGAGTTGAAGTCCACAAGTCATGAAGGAGGCCATAGTTCCCCCACGCTGGCTCAGGAATTCTGGGAGTTGAAGTCCACGAGTCATGAGGGAGCCATAGTTCCCCCATGCTGGCTCAGGAATTCTGGGAGTTGAAGTCCACGAGTCATGAAGGAGGCCATAGTTCCCCCATGCTGGCTCAGGAATTCTGGGAGTTGAAGTCCACCAGTCATAAAAGAGCCAAGGTTGCCTCTCCCTGGCCTAGGCAATGGCCAAGCCTGGCACAGATGGGAGGAGGAGGAGGAGGAGACACTTTAGATCCGAGAGGCTCCCAAGATCATGCCTGCCTCTCGTCTTTCTGGGCCTCGCCTCTGCCCACCCCAGGAGACTCTGGAGAAGTGCGATGCCTGCCAATCCTCCATCCTCCATGAGATTGTGTGGGCTCTGGGGAAGGGGTACCACCCAGAATGCTTCACCTGCGTGGCCTGCAGCCGCCCGATTGGCAGCGACGCCTTTGCCGTGGATGACGACCACCAGGCTCTTTGCCTCCCGGACTTTTACAGGTACAGCCCCGTAGCTTCTCTGCCTTGCGGCGGGTGGGAGAGGGCGCAGCGGGAGGAAAGCAGGGACGAAAGGCCGGAGAATTAGATGGCTGAGCTGCCCGCCTGCCTGCCTGCCTTCCAGGAGGTTTGCTCCCGTCTGTGGCGTCTGTGAGGAGCCCATCATCCCGCGGGACGGGAGGGACGCCTACAAGATCGAGTGCCTGGGGAGAAACTTCCACGAGGATTGCTACCGGTGCGAGGTGGGTCTGGGGAACTTGGCTGAGCAGAGAGGGGCCTTGGAAGCCTTCGTTGGAAGGATGCCGGGGCAAAGAAGCCAGCATCGTCTCGTGGCCTCTCCTTCGTGAGGAATCTATAAACCGAGTCAGTTTTCTTGCTCCGGAAACTCCCTTTCCTAATTGTGGAGGGGGACCTTCCAGGCTGGGTTTCAGTGACTGGGAAAGTGTGCTCCCCCCTTACCCCACAGTGTTCTTGGCAAAGGGGATGAGGGTTTGAAAGCAAGCAAGCAAGCCCGGAGGGGGGGGGGGACGCGAGGAGGCAGCCCTGACGCTCGTTTCTTTTGACCCGTAGAAGTGTCAGGTCTTGCTGTCCCTGGAGCCCACGGAGGACGGGTGTTACCCTCTTGGCAGCCGCCTCCTTTGCCAAGCCTGCTACGTCTGGCAGACCCGGGGTCCTCCTGCTCCGGATGCTGATCGCTCTTGGAAGTGGGCCCAGGAGGGCTAGTCCAGTGCTCCGGCTGCCCCCTCCCCTTGCTCTGTCTGCGATGTTTTTTCTTCCGTGGGGAGTGGGCCAGGGACTGAGAGCAACGCCCTCCTTGCGAATTGGACTTGCCACTCTTCCACCAGACCAAAGACGCCACGCTCCTGCCCCCACCCCCCCACCCCAGCCCTCTGCTTACGTCTGCCGGCTAGGGACAGTGCTCTGCTCTCGTTGATGGAGGTGCCGCTTGGCCGGGATTCAGCCTGCAGGAAAGCTGCTTTCCCAGGCAAGGAGAGGAGAGGGTCAGCGTGCTTAGTACTCCAGCTGTGTTTGACAGCTGGCTGGCCCTCCCCGCTTCCCCCCAAGCTCTGCCTCAGGGTGGGGGCAGGTGGCAGCCGGGCCTCCGAGGAGCGCCTGGCCTGAGCTAGCATAGGGGACCAGGAGAGGGAGCACCTCCATGCTTGCAAGTTGCCAGGCGGCAACTCCATTGTGTTTTGGGCCCGAACAGAGGGAGCTGAGGGCGCTGTAATCCTGCAGACCCTAATCCTACCCTTTTTGTCCCAAAGAAGCCCCTTCTTTTGAGTCCAGCCCAGCAGCCAGATCAGAGAAAAGGCTTGGCGGACACACGAGCAGAAGCAGAAGTTCAGTGGACTTCTGCTGTTAGTACCCATCTCCTCCACTAGGGGGCAGCCCAGCTCTGGCCCTCCCTGCGAGTCAGAAAGACATGGCTGCAGGGCTTAAAATACTGGGGAGGGGGCAGGTGGGGCTCTCCCCCCTTGAAGGACAGAAAGGAGTTCTTGGGAAAGGTGTACGGAATACAGACATATGGGGGGGGGGCTTTTGATTCTTGGCCAAACGCTTAAGCATTTTTCCCTTTGGTTTTGTCAGTTCTGGCCAGCAAGGCCAAGAGTTTTAAGCATGCCGATGGAGGGAAAGGGGTCCCCAACTTGGCTCCCCATTTTTGCTGGCTGTTCCTTCCCCCCCCCACGCAAGGGGAGGCATCTTGCTGACTGCTCCCCCTGTGCTGCCCCTGGCTAAGTGCTCTCCGGGGCCACAGCTGGAGGGGGAGAGGAATGTGCTTTTTTGGGGCTCCTTCAGATGCTTCAGTCCTTCTGAGACTTGGGGGGCCGGGCAGCCTCTCCCCCCCTCCGACAAAAGACCCCAGCTTTTGTTATAAACCGCCCCGGAGCCGGCAGACACAAAGCCATTTGCCCCCAAAGGTGCTTTTCAACTGGACTTCCTTGTTTATTTATTTTTTTCCCCCTCCTTGGAAAACGTTTCGCTTCTCACATCCAAGAAGTGGAATGTTTCCAAGGAGTGTGTGTGTGTGGGGGGGAAATAAAAATAAAAAATCCAAAATAAATAAGTAAATCCAGCCGCCTTTTGGAAAAGCACTTTTGCAGGGGTCTTCAAACTTGGCCCTTTTAGGACTTTTGTGGACTTCAACTCCCAGAATTCCTCAGCCAGCAAAGCTGGCTGAGGAATTCTGGGAGTTGAAGTCCACAAAAGTCCTAAAAGGGCCAAGTTTGAAGACCCCTGCAACTTTTGGGACCACCATGAAGTGGATAGTTGACATTAAAGCCATTTCTGCAGGGCCTGTCCGGGGGGGGCAGGGGATGGGGTCGAATCCCCACGCGTGTTTTCCGGACAGTCCGGACAAGTCTCCGAGCAGGACACGGGATTCCTCGATATCCGAGGGGCTGCCAATGGCATCTTGGTTGACCGGGGTGCAATAAAAAACCATCGCAAATAAAAGCTTTAAAAAAAACAGCACCGAAGCCTCACTCCGAAATCGACGGGACGCCCGTTGCGGGGGGGGCTCCCCCGAAACGCGACCCTCGGGGAGGGTGGACGGTCCGGAGACCCCCCTCCTTTGACTCGGAGGGGGGCGCCCCCCAGTGTACAGCGCCCCTGCTGGACGCGCGAGGAAAGGCAGGTGCGGCGCGGCGCCCCGGTGTCACAAAATGGCCGCCCGGCTAGGCAGCCGCGACAAAATGGCGCTCGTCCCGAGCACGAGGGCGGGGCGGCCTTTCCCGGGGCCGCGGGGCAGAGAACGGTCGGCCTTTCCCGGTCGCCCCCTCGTTACTCCAGCTCCTCCCGACCCCCCCCTCCGGGCAAGAGGTCGCCCGGGCCTTCACTGCGCCCGTCAGGCCTGCCAGGGCCTCGGTGACGGAACCGAGAATCAGTCGCGCAGGCAGCACGGGGAGGAGCAGGAGGCTCGGGCTGTGGAGCATGGGAGCTGTAGTTGTGAGCTCGGGAGGGGCTGAAAGGCCGAGAGGGGCCAAAAGGGAGCCGGAGCTCAGTTCCCAGAAGGGAGGCAATAACTTGAGGACGCGGATCCCGGATACGGGAGTACGTCGCTACAGACGGGATGCGCGCGAGTGTGCAGAACTTGTGAATCGCACCCAGTGAAACAAACCCAACCCTCCCCCCATCCCGACATTGACGCTAATGAGAAGCGGCGGCAGGGCCCCATAGCGCACGCGCAGAGGAAAAGTCCCCCCCGCCCGGGGAGCGCGTGCTGCGCGTGCGCGCTGGCCGCCCGAGAGGCCTACGGAGAACAGGATTCTCTCACCGCTTCCCCCCCTCCCCCTCCCCCCGCGCTGCTGGAGCAATCTCTCCTGTTTCCCCTGGAAGAAAAAAGAAGTCTCCAGAGCGCTTGCGCACGCTCTTCTTTTTCGCCTCCCCCGCCCTTTCCCGCGGCCCGACGCGCGCTTCCCGCCGCCCAATCGGCGGCGCGCCCCGGGGCGCGAGGCGGGCGCTCGGCGACGGATTGGCTACGGCGGCGGCCGAGCGCGCAGGCGCCGTGCGGGCGGGCGGGCGAGCGAGCGGGCGAAAGAGCGACGCCGCGCGCGGCGCTGCTGCGGCTGCTGAGGAGAAATTGGGCTGAAGCAGCGACAGCGCCGCCGCCGAGAAGGACGCGCGCACGACGGNCCCCTCGCGGCGCTGAGCCGAGCCGAGGCGGCGGCGGCAGGCGGGCGGCGCCAGGACCCCCCGTCTCCCGGGGGCAGCATCATGGTCCGGGAGACCAGGCACCTCTGGGTGGGCAACCTGCCGGAGAACGTCCGCGAGGAGAAGATCATCGAGCACTTCAAGCGGTGAGCGGGGCCGCCGGGGGGGCTCGGGCGGGGCGGAAGGGGATGGGGATGGGGACCAGCCCGGGGAGGCCTTTGCTCCGGGGAAGGGGGGGGGAAGCGGGTCGGTGGAGGGAGCCCGTGATTTGCCCCAAGGGGGGGGGCGGGAGGGAAGGGAGCCCCCCCGCCACAATGCCCGGCCCTCCCTGCCTCTGTGCGACAGGTAAAGCCTTGTGGGGGCTCTGTGTGTGTGTGTGTGTGTGTGTGTGTAAGGGCCTGGGGAACCCGATGCAGGCCCGGGATTTAAGAGAGCCTCTGGGGAGCCCGGCCCGAAGACGAGCTGGGCCACAACCTGTCATCCAGGAGCATCTGCCGGCTGCTGCTGCTGCAGAAGAAGCCTCTCAACTGCACCTCTTCCAGCGCTGGAGAAGCCCCAACAATGCAAGTGCTGCTGCTGCTGCTTTGTTCTTGAGCAAGGCTGCTGGACTCCTTTCTGCATTGGGCATTTTGGAAGTGTGGATAAAAAAAAACCTTCCCTAAGGAGGTGCATGCAGTCTTCTTCAGCTCTAGAGACTGCCTGCCTGCGGATAAGGAGACGGGCAGAGAGCAAAGATGCTGCACCGCTGGCCTTCATGTCACTGACTGGAATTAAAGAGCGTGTTGTGATGGAAACCACTTTTTACTCCAAGCAGGGCTGCATTTTTATTTTTCTACTACTGACAGCTTGGAATTTTTCACACGAGCTGGCCACGTTTATTTTGAGGTTCTTTGTTTTCTTATTCTGGAGGAATTATGAAAGAAATAATCCGTGGATATTTAGGCACAACTTTGACTAAATCCCTTTAAAAAAAAAAAAAAAAACAACTTCTTTTGTTCTATTGCTGTGGAGCATTTCCGGGATGGCTCATTCCGAATTGTCGTTTTAGTCCTGTTATTTGCATTCGTGATATATTCTTTTCTGGCTGTAAGAATGTTTGCCTTTTAAATTCCACCCAGTTGAGAAACGTTTTGGACAAAATGTGTGCAGCCTAAGAGCACCGGTGTGTGTTCACGGGATGGCTTTTGTGTGGCGATGAACGCCTTCTAGATAACAGTTGCAGGAACATCTGTCTTAAATAATTGTTTCTGGCCTTGCCTATTATGGCATTGTGAAGGAAAACTGACATGCATCATTCTTGACCCCTATGTGGGTCAGCTGAAGTTATTTTCAGTGAAAGACTTAAGAGGATTGCGAGTTTTCTTGTAATTTTCTTCCTACTGTTTAGGAAGATTATGGAGCGTACCTAATGAGTCATCATGGGAAAAATAGACTTGCTTGCTTACCTCATGGGGGAACAGCTTGACTGATGAATCTAGGGAAAGAGTGAAATTACCCTGTATTCTTAAATGGAAGCTTGTTTGGTGATGGTCAGGATACATTTTCATTTTGTGCCAAAGAGGTTCTTTAGTGTTATGTTAGATGCTTTCCACTCCTCCTCCTTCCCTCCTCCATAATTCAGAGTTGGGGCAAGCAGGCTACAAAATCAGAAGTGATTTTTATCCTGGTCTTATTATTTAGTAGATGGGGAAACAGTTTTAAAGTGTTGGAGTTGCCATATGCAAAATAAGTCTTGCTGGGAGCTGAGGTGGTCGGTCCTTTCCTAGCAGTTTTTCCTTTGTGTTGTTTTTTGTTTGTGTGTTTGAATAGGTGTTTGAGGAAAGCACACACACACACACACAGACTGTCTCATACTCCTTGCTGTGATTGGCAACACAGAGCCTGATTCATCGTTTGGCAGCCCAGCTTTTTAAAACAGAAAAACGGTTCCTTGATCCTCCCTTCGCGGGAGAGGAGAGAACAACATGCCTCTCGAAGGGTTTAGCGCAGTGCTGGCTTGTATGAATGCCTTTCTAAAATGGCGGCCGGGTCCCAGTTTATGTCGGAAGGAATAGAGACGATCTCAAGCTGCA